TGTGTCAGAGTTGTATCCTTTCTTCATATCTATTTGATCTGTATGCTGAGGAAATAAGTTACAAAATTGGATCCTACAAAGAAGAATGGCATCAGTATCGGAGGAAGACACACCAACAAACTGTGATATGTTGATGACACTATTTTGCTTGCTGAAAGTGAGGTGTATATGAAACACTTGCTGCAGAAGATCAAAGACTACAGACTTCAATATAGATAACATATCAACATCAAGAAGACAAAGGTCCTCACCACAAGACCAACAGACAACATTATGATAGATTGAGAAAAAAGTGAAGTTGTCAATGATTTCATTTTCCTTGGCTCAACAATCAACACCTGTGGTACCAGCTGTCAAGAAATCAGGAGATTGCATTGGGTAAATCTGGTGTCAGGGACCTCTGAAGAACAATGATGTCAATTTAAACACTAAGATGTGCCTGATTCAGGACATGGTCTTTTCACATCACCTGCTATGCATGTGGAAGCTGGACAATGAATAAGGACAGCAGAAGAAGAATTGATGCCTTTTAATTGTAGTGCTGAAGAAGAGGACTGAATTTCTCACAGACTGACAGAAGAACAAACAGATATGCCTTGGTAAAAGTGCAGCCTAAGTGCACATTGGGGGCAAAGAGGTGGAAATTTATAATTTCATAATTATAAATGTATAATTTTATATTTTAAATATAGAATATATAATTTAGAAATTTATAATCTAATAATGTAGACACACAGATAGATGAAGCTATTCCTTGGAAAGGGACATCATGCTTGGAAAGATGGAAGGTCAGCAAAGGAGAGGAAGACCCCCAAGGAGATGATTGACATAGTGACTACCGCAGTGGGCCCACATGTGTTAGAGATGATGAGGACCGCACAGGATAGGGCACATTTCAAGTTCAGCTGTTCACTGGGTCACTATGAGTCATACTCGACTTGATGACATCTAACAACAATATACTATTGGGTGTGTTGTTTGTTTGTTTGTTTTTACAAACCGCACAAGTACTACAATGAATTGTGCAAAGACCTGGAGATAGGAAATCAAAAGGAAATTACAT